AGATATATAGTTGCTACACTGGACTGAATTAGATTGAAGCAAAGCATACCCCAGACATATCGCGGATTTACCGTTTTACTATGAGCATTCTATATCATGTTGTTTTAAGAGTTGCACTGCTATTTATTAAGAAAAAACGATAAAAAAAATGTTTCTGGTGATTTGAATATGTATAAAGAATGCTATTGAATGAGCTCGTCGAGAGGGTTAATTGGATCAAGCGATATAAAATCCTATTATAATAAATAAAGAAAAATAAAAGTGAACATTTAATAAAATTAGGGTTAATATAATCTTTAGTTCCTCAAATTTCAAACCATAGGTTTTAGTCCTTTTAGAAACAAAATAATTCAAGTTTTTATTGGATTATATGAGTCAATGTTTTAAATGAAAAACAGAAAACTTGAGAGACCAAAACTTTTGATTTGAAATTTAGAAACCCAAACCAAAATGAGAGTAAATTTGAGGGACTAAAAATTGAATTAGCCCATAAAATTATTAAACGATATATTTTAATCAACAGTTTATCTGAAGAACTGAATAGAGGGCTATAGCATTGTGTGACCCGTTATACCAGTATGTAGCCAATCCCTTGGGATAATGTTTGTTACTGTTGTAAATATATATATATATATATATATATAGAGCGTTGTCTTCATTTTATACTGTAGCACTTTCTTGTTTTAGTTGTGCGTTTGCACGTGCTTATTTTTGGACTCTTGAAAAAAAAGGATAGTGTGAACAATGCGGTGCTTAATTTTTCCAGTAAACTATATTCGAGGAAATAAGACGTTGATATATCTAAAATAGGGAAACAAACCAAACAAAGTGGAGAGTCCAAGAAAGTTGTGTTAATTGATTGAAGATCTTTGTTGATTCTTTACTGTAATATTGAAGCATAAGACTGCTCAATCTTTCATGGTGGGGAACAATAAAAAAGGCACTCATGAGAAATTAATGTTTTTAGAATGCGTTGTCGTTCTATCATTTGTTGTTTATGTTGCCTGATTAGAGTGTGATTGTGCATTTACACAAAAATCAAAATAATCCATAAATTAAATTAAGTAATTATGATAAATATGACTTAATTTTCTAAAATATATTGTCGGCAAAAAATATTTCCTAAAAAGTCTGTGCGTAATATTAGATAACATACTCCTCTAAACTTATTTATACTCCTCTGATTTTATTTATAAGGTATTTTCAACATATTTCATATAGACCAAGAAAAACTTTAAATTGCATTAACTCTTCATTAAAATATAACAATTTTTTAACTTTACACATATTTAATAGATACACCTTTCGCAAGAGATAACTAACTACACTATAATAAATGAAGGACAAAATAATACATTCACATTAAAAATTTAATGAAGTGACTTATAAATATGACCAGAATAACTTTTCTCTCTGCCCTATAAATAGGACCAGAGGAGTAAGTCACTTTCAGTATATTTTACATATAGCTATAAAGATCTTAAACTTGATTAAATTCTTATTTAAAATTTAACAACTTTTTAATTTTATTTCTATTTAACATACATTGTACTTCTATTCTATCGAGTACACACATATAAATTATACTCCCCCCAATCTTATATATAAGTTTCAAATAACCGAATTACGTTTAATGAACTAACATGCAGAATTAGTTAAAAATAATAAATAAGTTCAAAATACACTTTTCCTCCAAATTTGCCCTTATTTATTGCTCCTCTTATCCTATTTATAGGGTAGAGAGAGAAGATATTTTGTTGGTCCTGTTAAGAGAAATTTTTTGTATTTACGTATACATAATTTTACCTTTCATTTATTATTATATTGACTTTATTTACATGAGATATAATGTAGATTAAATAGGGATAAAGTTAAAAGTTATTGAATTTTAAATGAGAGTTAATGAAATTTAAAATTTTACTTAGTCTGTGTGAAACATGTTGAAAGTGACTTATAAATAGAATTAAAGGAATAAATAAAAATAAATGATGAAAGAGAATATATGGGAGTAATATTAATGAGAGAGAGGGAATATTAAGTACAGTCAATTAAAGGCAAAATAGAAAAAAAAAAAAAAGAAGAAGTAATAAATGCTTAGACAAACTCAAAAATGAAGCATATATTTTGGATTAGATCCTTCTCCAAAAATAAGACTTCTATATAGGATTGGAGGGAGTACATTGTAATTCATGAGAACCAAATTAACATATAATAAATAAAAAATAAAATTATATATTCATGTGAAAAAAAATTCTCTCTCTATCCGATCAAATGAGTATCAATTTATAAGTAAAATAAATTAGTTTCAAAAAAATAATACATAGACGAGATAAAATTGATTAAATTCTTAAATTAAGAACCAAATTTAATTCTCATATTAACTAGAACTTTGAAAGGCTTATCCTTACACTATATCCCTGCCGCACTTTTTCGATATTCCCTTTCTCCCAATCAATGAAGGGAATGTGAGTGTGCTTGTGCATTTATTACATAAAAATAAAAACAATCGGTGTTGTTTATGATTCATAAATTTATAAATAATATGATTTTTATTTATTACTTTTCTAGTCTTATTTATAAGATACTTGCAGCATATTTTGCACAGATTAAGAAAAAAATTAAGCTATATTAACTCTCCGTTAACATATAATATTTTTTTAATTTTATCCTTATTTAATACGTACATTTAAAAAAAATTATCTACAGTATAATAAATGATTAACAAAAGAGTATATTCATATTAAAAATTTAATAAAGTAACTTACAAATAAAATAAAAAACTTTTTTTTTCTACTTTATAAATAGAATAAGAGGAATATTTTTTATACGATATGTTGCATTTGAAGGCTTTTATCCTTATCCCCACTTTTATTTGTCCATATTCTCTCTCTCTCTCTCAATGAAGGCAATGGGACAATAATAAAACTAATTTCAGTACTTATCACCTCCTAAACTCATCACATATAGATTGTCTATATTTGATTTGAACGATCCAGGTTTAAAATATTTAATTAATTATTTTTATATAGAAAAAAATTATTTTTGAAAAAAATAATAGTTAAGAGATTATTTTTATTTTAGATTCTATATACGTTAAAATAATTATTTTGAACAAATAAAAAAAATCAAAACTGAATCATTCCAATAAGATATGGATGATTTAGATCTAATAAGTTTATGATAAGTATTGAAACTGGTTCTGAATAATAATGAGTCTCCACTTGTGAATGAAATATCCCAGCGTTTAAATTTATTATATTTCACCATCCATTCATATATAATTGATAAGCCCTTATAATATACTCCCTCCGTTCCTTATTATAAGAGACATTTGATGCTTATAGCATGTTCCTAAATATAAGAGACACTTAAAAGTTGTCTCTACTTTTTTGTGTTAATTTCCTATTTTACCCATATTTATTGTCTCCAACTCACACTCTCTCTCCTTCCCACTTCTCTTTCTTTTAAGAATTTACTATTGTTCTCTCTCATGCTCTCTCTCCTTATTAATGAGGGCATTTTTGGAAAAAAATTATACTTTTTACACATTAATTGTTCTTAACTAATTTTAACTGTTTTTTTTATCAACGTAATTCGGTTATTCGTCTCTTATAATAAGGAACGGAGGGAGTAACAATTAGGCGAAGCTATATAATGCTCAAAATCGAGGTCAATTGGCTGTAAATAAGTATGTATAATGAATAAACATAAACTAACCCTAATAATGCTGAATCTGCTCCCCAGAATGAGGAAGCCTTTTCCAACTATATAATGCCCACTTTTTCATGTGGTGGTCTCAAACTCTGAACCATCATTGCCTCTGGTTTGAAGAACTTTAGCTGTCAACTTTTCACGCACTAGTGCAAAACAACCCATTATAATACGTAGCATAGCCCTAATATTTGACCTCTGGAAATTTTCTCGACGTTCTAAATTAAAAACCAATTAATATCAACACCTGTGCATGGGGTCCTTTTTTACTCGATCTGACTTGGTGTTTAATAATGTAACTACCGGATAGTTCGGTACTGAAAAAAATATCAAATAATTATACCACACATGATGTGATATATATATATATATATATATATAAACATGTAAAGGAACAGAGATTGCAAATTACTCCCTTTTTCTTTTGGGAACAAAAAACTCAGAAAATATTCTTGCCATACAATTTCCATTTAAAATTTATAGTTTTTCTCAAAAGTTTGATTATATTCAAGTATAATCTTGTGCATATGATGCTTAAGCTTGATTGCAACTATCCAATACCCCAATTACACAATCTTGGCGAAAATTAAAAATTATACCATCCTAAGTGATCAATCAACGTTGGGTTACAATAAACATCGACTTAAAAATTTTCTCCTTCAAGATACAAGCCAAGATAAAATTGTGAGCATATAGTAGTAACTTTATTCAAAGCGACATCAGCTTGGTACTTAAAAGGGAGAATCACAACTTAAAAATCTCGTAAAAAATTTAACAAGTAAATTTCACAATTCCAATTATAAATAATTAATTAAATATGTTCTCATTTGACATTAATTTTCTTTCAGCTATATAACTAACTACCCGTACGTCATTATCCCTATCTACACAATATATATATATATATATATAAATGAAGAATCGAGTTGTTAGCTTATTGATTAAATAACAGGAACAGTGAAAAAGACGATCATGTGTATGCAGGGATGAGTCCACCAAGAGACAAGGAGCCCCACCAGGTCCCAAGTCTGAATGCTTTCATCAGAGAGTGGCTCGCATCTAAATCTAGTATTGTATTCTTACACTCTCACTTTACTTAAAGTCACGGCCCGCAATTTATTCCAATCACCCACTCACTCTGTCTCTCTCTCTCTCTCTCTCTCTCCCCTCTTACATATGAACATGAAACAGCATTAATCTTGAGGCTGAGCGATCTCAAGTCTCAACCTTTATAACAACCCCTATTGTAATCTGTAGGTAGGACAAACGGTAGCTATAGATCTACAGAGATGACAGAGAACGTCCCAGTTGTTTCGTCCAGAGGCGATAGGAAGGTCACAGAGAGGAACCGAAGAAGCCATATGAGGGCTCTTTACTCCAAGCTCAGCTCACTCGTCCCTCGTCAAACCTCAAGGGTACTTAATTCTTTTAATTTACTTCTATTTAATCATATATCTTTCTTTTTCTTGTTGTTTGTGACTTGGAATTGTTCTGAATTGATCTGTAGTGCAGGAAGTGGTTTCTGTGCCGGATCAGCTGGGTGAAGCCACGAACTACATAAAGAAACTTCAGATAAGGTTGGAGAAGATGAAGGAGAAGAAGCTCAACCTTATGGGGACCGGCAAGAAGAGAAATGCTAATGAGAGCCTAACTAACAATAGTAGAGGAATCATTAGGGGGTCAAAATCGCCCAAAGTTGAGATTCACCAAATGGGTTCAGCATTAGACGTTTCTGCGATCACTGGGTTGGATTGCCAGTTCATTTTCAACGAGTTCATTCGCATTCTTCACGAAGAACAAGCCGATATTGTTAACGCCAGTTATTCAGTCGTTCAAGACGCTGTTTTTCACACCATACACTGTCAGGTGAGCAGTTAAATAATCAAATTTCCTCTGAACCAACCATTTATGATCTTCTCTTTAGTTCATTAAAAACCCCTTTAGATTTTACATTAAAGCCTTAAAATTAGCAAGTGGATGAGTTAGTATAAGCTAAAACTAGCTCTTAATGAGACCTTGGGAGACCAAACTGTGTTAAAATTTCTCTCTCTAATATTGAAGAGGATTTAGGACTGTGTAATTATTATGCATAGAGCTGATCGATCTGGTTTTGTATTAAATGTCGTTCAGATAAGTGAATTTGGAAACAGATCTGAGAGGATATCGGAGAGATTAAAGCGGTTTGTGTACGGTTCTGGTGCTTTTTGAAGAGAATGGCAATGTCTGCACTACGTACTCTGGATTTTGATGATCAGATTGTGAATAGCTTGTACTTTAGTTTGTAATTATACGTAATTTCGTTCGTACTGTATCTATAAACTCATATGATCTTACCATACCGGTACTTTATTTATAAATTATAAATAAGGTTTTATAATTAAGAATGGAGGTATGCAATAGTTTCCATTGTCAATTTGTCATCATCCGCTGATGGATCTGTGCTTCAGCGTGCGGATCTATATTATTACATATTGTTTATTGTTGTTCAGATTCTGCAGCTTCTTGCTATACTTCCTGGTTTATTACATAGATAGGGAGACTTGAAAATTCTGATGGAATATGGTCGTTCTAATTAATCAGCGTAAAAAGTTAATTAACTAACCAAACGTGTTTCTAAATATCATTAAACAAATGTTCTTGTCTGTTTAGGAACAGAGTATAGGAGAAAAGTATACTACCTCCATTTCTTATTATAAGAGTTTGTTTAACTTTCAATTTGATTTAAATATAATATCCTAATGTACTTTATCTTTCATATTTATTTATTTTTTTCAAAACAGTCCTTATAGCAGTTACACATGTTAAAGGTTTTATTAAATGATAATTCTAACTAATATACATGATGGGCAAGGGTATTTTAAGAAAGACAATACTTATTTATAACAAATAACTAACTCAACTAATTTTTTTAATCTCTTCAAATTAGTTAATTAGGTTTTATATTAAGGACCAAAGGTAGTATTTAGGAGGAATGAAAATTAATTAAACACAAACATGATGCCAGATATGGAATGAAAATGAATCGCATTGCAAAATGTTTGCAACAGTAACGTTTTTGCCCACAAATGCCCTTCTGCTGGAAATCGTTTTGTTGACTTTCTATTTTAGGGGAAAAAATAATTGATGTTAGAATTTAATAAATTTAATTAAAGGCAATATAATATTGGAAAATGGTGATAATTTTTTTAAAAAATTTTTAAGAACATAAATTATTTTTAAATAATACTTAATCTATATGAAGTAGTCAAGTGTGCTAATTTTGCCTATTGCCATAAGAAAATTAGAATATTTTTCATTGTACTAATTTTTTCACCATTAAACACAATTTTTGTATATTGATTTAGTCGTAAAAAAGTTAGTTTTATACCTTTTTTCCAAAACTAATGCGGTTTAAATATATTTATTCTCATATTAATAATAAAAGTACATTGTTTTGTTAAAATCTAGCATAATTATTTTTGATATATTATAAATAATCTTACAATCTCATCACATGTAAAACACTAGCTAGTTTCTCCTACATATGTTGATTTTATAATGAAAAAAATCAAAATAATAAACGCGCCATGTAACTTTACTTGAAGGTCAGATTATTCATAACTGCAGCTTTCAAAAATATATTGATTATTTATTTTTATAACTGACATAAATTATTTAAAAAACAAACTCTCACAAAATAATCCCTACAACCCATTTGTTTAATTAAACATTTAAAGATCTTACATATACATATATAGACATATAAACACACACTATCTTTTATTATTAATATAAAAACTGGTTTGACTTTCAATTTAATTATAAACATAAGACCCTAATTTATTTTATTCTTTATATTTATTTATTTTTAAAATAATTATTATAATAATTGTATGTATTAAAAATTTTATACTAATATATATTATTAACAAGAATATTTGAATCGGGAAGGAAAAAGTGGTCACGTGCAAAATAAGGATTTGGGCTGGCGGGGGGAATTTATATGAGGATGGGTCATGTTGATGACGTAGGGTAAGTGACGCCATATTATCTCTGTCACACCTCACTTGCATTAATATTTTTTTTGCCAGTCACATGCATTAATAGCCCAAACGAAAAACGTGTGATTTATCTCCGTAAAGAAAAAGAACGGTTGAGAGGGCTCACATGGATAGAATCAAATTATCCTCTCTCACTTTGTTTATTTTCTTTAATTCTTTTTCCTCCCAACTGTATCCATTAAAAAATAATATTCTTTCAGTCAATTATTTTATAATATAAATTATATTATAAAATAATTCTTATATTTAAGATTGGAAAAATAAATAACAATAATGGACACGTGGAAAGTGAGCCCCTTGTGTGATGTTAACAAAACAAGCACGACGTTGGGTGGCCTTGCCTGCCTCTTCCGTCGATCCCTTGCCCGCTAAGGTGGCAACCATTAATGGCGACTGCTCGGGTGGTCCCAGTTGGATTTGACCCGTACCAAATTTTTCTTATTCTTCTTTTTCTTTTTTTAAGGAAAAAAATTATGGGACCATATTCTGATAACACGAGGTTAGTTACAAATGAATCAAACACAGAATTTTCATGTCATCGGGTTATACAGAAACCGCAAGCCACGCTGATGAATGATGATCTGCGAGGTGCATTTAATAAAATTTCCATAGGATTCGCTTTTAGTTATGGTGAGAACATGTTAGTATGTGCGCTTGTAGGGTCCTGAACTTGCGTAAAACCCAATGTGTCAATAAGGACAGGCAGTGAATTACTCGTCTGATCCTATTTATAAGGTAGATATAGAATGTTTTTCTCGATCCTATTTATAAGTTATTTAATTAAATTTTTAGTAAGAATGTACTATTTTGTCTTTCATTTATTATAACATAACTGATTTTTTTTAATATCTATATATTAAATAAGGATAAAGTTAAAAAATTGTTATATTTTAAATGACGATTAATATATTTTAAGGTTTTTCTTCGTATATATAAAATATATTAAAAGTGTCTTATAAATAGAGTCAGAGAAATAACATGTGATAATAACTACTATGTTTGCTGTATCTGAAGACGCGCACAGGTAATGCACAAATACCCTTCTTTAAATTTAGCTAATCCAATTAATTAGCTCCTTTGTTTTGTGTGTGTTTTAGAATCTGGTGGTGCGCGCAGAAGGCAGGTAGCCTCGCTGCCGGATCAATCAGTTCAAAGCTCAAAGACGGGTTGCTGGGGAGGCAACTATATATCATGGCAAACTTGGCAGAAGATATAAATAATAACTAATTAAGAGGTAGGTAAAATAACGAACTAGTACTGTATTCCCCTAGTCTCTTGGTCAAAATGTTTGCAATATAAACCCATCAATCCCTTCAAAACTACCCAAACATTTGCTTTCATTCACATTGAGTATGGACTACGGAGTATATATGATAATGTGAAAAGTGCTATTCAATATTCGTTTCAGTTCCATTTTGAGATAAAAAAGTACATATGAAATCCCCATTTCACACTAATTTAATGGCCATGTGCTTTGTGCGCAGAGATGTGGTCCTCTCTAAGTCTAGACGTACCCATCCTTCCAGAGTCTCTCCTCCCTCTCTGACTCTGACCACTTCATGCTAGCTCTCTCCCTCTTCCACACAATCGTCTCCCCCGTGTTTTGCAGTTCACACAGTGATAAATCTCTGGTGTGCTTGGTTTGAAAATGATGGGAGAATACTATAAAAACATTTTTATAAAATTCTTAATATTCTTTTCTCTTTAATTTTTTTCATCCAAATCAAGGGAACCCAATCCTTGGTTTGCTCTGTCCCTTTCTTGGCATTAGAAAATAGAATTTAGCCATGAATTCTTCTTTTTTTCTTCACAGATTAGGATCCGCATATGCCTACACGCGCACGCGACAATAGCCGGGTAAAAGGCCATTGGCCAATTTTTGGTTCCAAAATGACAAAGTTAGTGATGGATAACTTCTAATCATTGATAATTTAAAAATGGGATAAGATGCTTAAATACTCCAAAAGTATCTATGAATAAAAATCCAGTATTTGGATTTTTTTTTTTACTCTCATATGTCCTGAAATTTTATTTTTATAGCACAAATACTTTGACCGTTATTCTTCGTTAAGTCTGACCAGTATTTTTAACAGTCAAATTAATGAAAGATAATGTTGCAGGGCATAATGCTGGGAAATAAAACTTTCAGGACATATAAAAGCAACAAAAAAAAAAAACTTCCAAGTACCCGGTACTCTTTCGTGAATACTTTCAGGGTATTAAGCATCTTATCCTCTTGAGAATTACATAAAACTTCTCCTTTTTTGTTCTAAAAAAACCTACACAAAAAGAGAATCCAAAGCATCTAAAATAATCAATATGATAATAAATAAGATAAGATTATTGATTGAGCCTGAAAAAGCGACCATGTGAGATGAGTGATGTAAATGGCTGTGCATGTAAAATAATGATTTAGGCATCTAGCTTGAGAAATGTGGTTAATTACACGGATATGTGCTCCATTTCATGAAAATGGAGTAAGTTTTCATCTAGTTATTCCTCCCATAGATTGATACTGCAAATCTGTGAAACATGATATAGGGATTTAATTCACGGGAGTTTCATATAATATACATGCTTTTTTTCCCCCTGGCAGTGCTTGCCTATTGAGTGAAATCCAAGATGATCATTGACGAGAAATGAGGCTCTGATTATACACGCATATTCACGTACATATGTATATTGCATGCCAAAATAAGAGAGAACTTAGGAGTGTTTGGAAATACGAAAAAGCACTTTTAAAAGTATTTTTATGCAAATCAAGATAAAAATTATTATGGCAATACTTTCGCATACTTGTTTTGTATGAGAAAAATTATTCTTAAAATCATGGTTTGGCTCTTACTGAAACACTCTATTAGTAATAAAGGGAAGGCCCATTCAGATTGGACTCATCAAAGAGTAAATATTAATGGGCTTCAAGGTGAATTGGGCTGCCTCCCAACTGCCCCATTGATTTATACACAGTCACTTTCATCGGCCCGTGAGCTCATCCGTGATCATATCCAACCAAATTGGGCTTCTGTTGATCCAGGATGGTCCAAGTGCCACCGTGTGTGTGTGTGTAGATGCTTTTGGGCTTTTGATGTAGTGGTAGTTCTGAGAAGCCCAATTGGAAGGATGCATTTTGATTGGTCTGGATTCATCTCTGTCTCGGATGCCAAATTGAGCTTCCAAACAAGGCAAATTTCTTTTCAGCTCCAACGGCTATTTATTTCACCGAAACTAGCTGGTGAGTGACCACTTCCCAACGGTTCCACAAAACGT